TATAAAGATCCTGTGGAGAAAGCCCGACAAAGTTTACCGTTGCAGCTTTTTAGCTCTGTTGAGGATGGCACTCTCCCCAAATTGGGTTCTACAAGGAAGTATGTATCCTCTGAATGTAGCAACCTGATTGATGGTAGATCCCCTTCATCTTCTCCTCCAGTTGCTCAGAGGCTTTTCCCTCTGCATTCAGAGTCAGGAAGTATGCAACATGAAAGTATGTCAATTTGCCCAGGCAATTCCCCTGTTGAGGCGATAACAAGCCGCAGGCATATAGTACCGTTGGATCTTTTTAAGGAGTCAGAAAGACTAGATGATAGTGGCGCCTTGCAAAGTCCTCCATTTCAAGCAGGTTACACATCCTCCTCTGGCTCGGACAGATCGCCTTCTAGTTCGAATTCTGATGGACAGGTTTACTAATATTATTGACTGCTTCGTTGTGTTTTTTATATTTGTTATGGTTCATCTTGTCTTACTTTCAAATGGATATTTCTCAGGACCGGACTGGACGGATCATATTTAAACTATTTGATAAGGACCCCAGCAGCTTCCCTGGTGCCCTCAGAGCTCAGGTAGGACAGATGAACATGATGTTGTCCAATTAGTTGGTTGTCTATTTGTACTGGCTGATAAAAGAGATGATTTTCTTCCAGATACTAAGTTGGCTTTCCAACAGTCCATCAGAAATGGAAAGTTACATTCGACCTGGTTGTGTGGTCCTGTCAATTTATGCGTCCATGCCATCTACAGCTTGGCATGAGGTGAGTGCTAAAAAGCCTGTGCAGCGTCAACATACTCACTGTTTTTCAAATGAATTTAATATGTTTGCTTATGCTGCAGATTGAAAGCAACCTTTGTCAGAGAGTCTCTTCACTGGTACAGTGCTCAGAATCAGAGTTCTGGCGAAGTGGGAGGTTCTTAGTTCGGACAAATAGGCAACTAGCTTCACACAAGGATGGTATACTTTAATTGATTGAAAAACTTAGTTTCTTTTAGTAATTGCATGCAAAATATGTCAGATATTATCTTCTCATATTTTCTCTAGATTCCTGCTTATCTTTTGACATTGTATATGGAATCTAGGGAAAATTCATCTGTGTAAATCTTGGAAGACGTGGAGAGCTCCTGAGCTGACATATGTGTCACCTATTGCTGTTGTAAGTGGACAGGAAACCTCCTTTGTTTTGAAAGGTTGGAATTTGACTGCTCCTGGCACCAGGTAAGCCGATGTTAATCTTGAACCTATTATTTCATTAACAAAGTTTCATTAATGAACCTATTATTTCATTACCAACAATGTTAATCTTCATATCTGCAGAATTCATTGTACCTACATGGGGGGCTATACGTCAAAAGAAGTTCTTGGTTCAGTTTATCAAGATACCATTTACAAAGGTTCTAGCACAGAGTGTTTCAGTTTTCATTGTGAATCTGGCGATGTCTTTGGTCGCTGTTTCATTGAGGTGCTTGTTGTTCACCGAACCAGTTAATTATCGTCAAAATATTTAATTAGTCACAACGCTATCACAGATATTTTATGACATAGTATTGTCACCTAAGTTTTGCGGATACGGGCATGGGTGCATGTGTGGGTACGGTACATGACAAATTTGTAAAAGGTAGGTATGGAGACATAGCTGAAGCCCATGGGATATAATCATGGTTCTGAGCACTGTTCTAATACGTAAACGAACCCTTAAAAATCGTAGCTCTTAAGGCTGAATTGAACTTGACCCTTATCCAACAGGTTATAAAAATGAATGTGCAAGTGTAGGATATATATCTGAGAAGTATATGACAAGTGTTTTAAATTAAACATGCAAAACATGCATTATATAATTGAGTACAAGCTGAGTAAATATATGCATATATTTAATGAGTTTCCAAGAAGTGTCGGGTACAGGTATGTCACAAAGTCGGGTACAGTACATCTCCATAGTAGAAGTACCTAGGTAACATAGATTATCACGAAGCTGGACGATCATCTGATATATTCTCCAAAATCACTTTAATCATGATCTCTAAAATAGTTGCAAACCATTAAGAACTGTAGTGGGGCAATTCACAATTTATGAGGAAATTTTGTATCTTAGCCATGTGTGTTGCTTATATGTTGTGGTTAATAGTAACTGCCACTGATGTGATGCCTTTACTTTTGCCTTTTAATCCTAATTTTACTAGAATTGTTACATTTGATGTTTACTTCTCACTCCATGTGTATATGTTTTTTGGTCTCCTGAAACTTTCACGAAAATTTGGGGGATCATCTGCATTTCCTAACTTTCCACTTGACTCTTAGTCTATATCATGCATTTTTCTACTTTCTGCAATTATGTGGTTTAGGACAGAATATGTGTAACTGACTCATGTTCGAAATCTTTGCAGGTAGAAAATGGTCTCAAAGGAAACAGCTTTCCTGTTATTATCGCAGATGCTACAGTTTGTAAAGAGCTGAGGCTCCTTGAGTCTGACTTTGATGCAGAGAGAACAACAGATTCCATTTCTCATGATCAAGTAGGACCAAGGTCCAGGGAGGATGTTCTGCACTTTCTGAATGAACTTGGTTGGTTGTTTCAAAGAAAGAATACCCCTTTAGACTTATTTCTTACCAATTTCTCTCCTAAACGGTTCAACTTCCTGCTAACCTTTTCGGTAGAACGTGATTGGCCTGCGGTTGTCAAAACGCTTCTAGATATGCTTGTAGAAAGAAGCTTAGTGAGCCAAGATAGCCTAGTTCAGGAATCCTTGGAGATGTTACTAGAGATCCAACTCTTGAATAGAGCTGTGAAGCGAAAGTGCAGGAAAATGGTTGATTTACTTCTCCATTATTCCGTAAAGGGGAGCGATAATGATACAAAGATGTACCTTTTTCGTCCTAATTCAGCAGGCCCAGGCGGAATCACTCCCTTACATCTAGCCGCATCTATGCAGGACTCAGAGGACATGGTCAATGCATTGACTGATGACCCCCAGGAGGTAAACCGTAGTTAGATCAAAGAATGCATTTATCCTCTTGCTTTTACATTGTACCGCATCATTGTAAAAATTTCTAAAGGTAGAAGTCCAAGATTCCGTGTTAAGCAGTTGAGCTAAAAAAGGAACACGAAAGAAAGGAAATTTAATAAACAGGCATTGATCAACTTTGATTTAGTAAATGTCATATGAACAAACTTTCAAATTGAGCGGAATGAACTTGTGTCTATATCCCTTGCAAAGCAGCCAAGTCATCTCTCTATACGTCTATATATATTCCCAGCAAGTCTTTCATGTGTCTGTGCGCGCGCGTGTAATTTAAAGAAGGTTTTTTGTATTTAGGTTTTTCCTCTTGAAAACCACAATTTTGAACTAACATGCTCCTTAGTGCAGTTACATGAGCGTTTTTTTATATTAGGCGTCACTGATATATGGACCCAACTTTATTATACACATGTACTTAGTGCAGTTATCGTGAAATAAAAGAGTAGTTTTCTGTATAAGACTGCAGATATAGAAAACTGTACGAAGGAAATAACTGAATGATGTGATATTATACTGATAGACCTTTTTGTAGGCATGGTCTTTTGTATGATATTTTGCATCCCCAGCATCTCAAATAAAATATTCACCCCTATGAAGATCAAGAGGATCCGAACCAGACCACAGAGCAAGGATTACACTTCTTTCGTTTTTACAATTCTTTCGTTTGAAGTGTTATAAACTGTACTCTAAAACAAAATGCAGTAGCTTTGGATAATGTTGCATTTTCCTGCAGAAATAATCTGATTTTTAAGCCCCCATAAGTGGCTTGAGTTTAAAGTTCGTAATAATATTCTTAGGGAAGTTTTAACATGTTGTGAAAAATTGAAGTTTTTAACTCCGCATTATTTTGTAAATCTTTCAAATTTTCTTACTCAAAAGGTTGGTGTTGTTTCCACTATTGAAACAGATTGGCTTGAACTGCTGGGACTCAATACTTGACGAGAGCGGTCAATCCCCTTACATGTATGCATCCGCGAGAAACAAACATTCATACAATGAATTGGTGGCCAGAAAGCTTGCAGACAAGAAAAGTGGCCAGATATCAATATCACTGGAGGATCATCATCTTAGCTTCAGGATCACAACAATGAGATCCTGTGCTCAGTGTGCTCGCTTAGATGCCCATAGGTTCAAGCGAAGACACCGTAATGGGGGATTTCTTCACCGGCCATATATCCACTCAATGCTAGCTATTGCTACAGTGTGTGTTTGTGTGTGTTTACTAATGCGAGGCTTGCCAAAACTTGATAATATTGCTCCATTCATGTGGGAAAATTTAGAGTATGGTCCTCAGTAGCCAAGAGGCAGAGGAAGAAATGGTGGACATGATCATGTTTCAAATAGTTTTCGAACATGGGCCAAATCCTAAACTGGAAATGCTTGGGCTCTTCGACATTGATTGGATGTTTGGTTGGAGAAAAACCAAGGAAACAGATACAGGAAGAAAGAAGAGAGCGGCTAAAAAAAAGGACAGCGGCAAAAGAGGACTCTTCCGGTTCCAGCACAAAAGGTTGCTACATCATTTGTAGTTAGGAATTTTAGAATGCTTACCTGAGATTATTGTCATTGATGATTCCCTACCTTTTTTTTGTTGATTTATTTTGTATTTTTGACGTCTTTGATTATAAATGGTAACAAATTTAACGGTCTATGGGTTATGCGTAACTGCCAAAGGTTGCTACAAATGTACACGGGGCAGTAGTGAAGTTTATTATCGAAAGAAACAGGGAAAAATTTGTTGATCATAGCTTGCAGATATCTATGAGCTAACAATTATTCCCCTTCTTAATCGTGTTTTGGTGCTTCTTGTGATGTTTTAACTATGAGATAAAATTGTGCTTACTTGTTTATCTGGATGGGATCTATCTGCTTCATAACTCTTTCAAATCATGAAAAATTTCGTCGTCGTAACTGTTGCTGAGAGAATGAGGATTGCAATGAGGTTGGATTTGGAGATTAAAGCGGACGGTGATGGTGGTTCTAGGTGTTTGAGGTGGTTTGAAGAGTAGTGGGCCGCTTTGCTATCTTTAGAGGGGTTTGAAGGTAATCGTTACCTATGTCTGATGTTTGTCAAGATCATCTCCATCAACCTTTTTGCTTGTACTTCATAGCATATAGAAATGCAGCTCATAAATCTTTCTAAATTTCTTTCTGATTACAGATGTGCACGAGTGTCGATGAGATCCTTTGATAGCACTGGAGATAGAACCAAGCAGGGATCAGACTGCAGGAGAATCTTCAGAATGGTCGATTATCTTCTTGCTACAGAACAATAAAGTAAAGACATCCTCAATTATTTTCTTTAATTTTCCCCAGGCTGCAAGCGTTCTGATCATTGTTCTTCCTTAAACCCAGGTGCTAGTTCATTATAAAGCACCAAGCACGGATCACGCTCATGAAGCAGTAAATTCAGACGAATGGTTCTACAGTTGAGATTAAGACGGCATATGCTCTAGTACATAACCGGCTTCACTCTGCAGCGGCGATGCAATATTCCATTGAGATGTCTAAGTCTTTGAACATACTCGGATGACAACTACACTGCAATGTTTCAGACTTCAGCATTTCAAGATCAGTACATGCTGAATCTACTTTGATGCCCAGCACAATTTCATACCGAATATGTTTAGACGAGTCAACTGAGAGCAAAAAGCATCGTTAACAGCTTCGTCAAAACACACAACCCTCATTACAATTCTGAATTCTGATTACAGCGTACAATTCTGCAGGATACATCTTCTCGTTATGTACTGCTCTTTTTTTTTTGTTTTAGTTGTCATGCTCTTGAAATTAATCAGAGGATTAGTTTTTCTTGTTAGTAATCTCTCTAACTAATCTGTTAATTAAGTGCAAATGCTAAAACATGTCTTCTTTCTTTACCCTTTTGCTTTTCAGGCACAATTCATAGTACATTGATGGAACTAAAGAAATATGCCTCTATAGCTTTCTCAAATACCAAGGAGAACAAAAATAGAAGATTCTGAAATAAAATTCCTTTAAAAAGAAAAGAAGAAGGAGAAGAAGAATCTTAGCTAGGAGGCCAAATACTTTGCAACGGAATCCTAGTTAGAGTGGGTGGGAAGCAATCTTTTTCTGATTGTAACTTTTCTAAATAAATATTCTCAAGGATCATATCACTTAGTAAACCTTATTTATTTCCTTAGCTAGGATATCATATCATGTTTGGATCTGTTTATTTTCATAACTTTTGATGAAACTTTTCCAGCTTGGCAAATCCCAATAACCTGTTACCAAAATAAATTATTAGGATTCCTAATCTGTTTTGATTTTGGTTTTAGAATTCCTAGTATGCTTTTGGTTTTAGGATTTCTATATATATAGGAACACGTTTTAGGTTTAGGGAGCAGCGAATGAGATATTTGGAGCACAGAAAAGAGATATAATCTGAGCTATTGGTTAGGATTTTGCTTGGAGAGAATTAGAGCTTTGTTGGTGAGATTAATTGGTGAGTTTGTGTGATTTTATAATCTCAGTTTATACTCTTCTTCTCTATTAGTGAAAACCTCATTCCCTTCTTGCCCCGTAGACATAGGCAACTTGCCGAACCACGTTAAAATTGGTTGTTTGAGTTTGTGTCGTTATTTTGCATTGTTTGACCTTCTCTCAACGTTCGTTTGATTTGGTCTCTCGAAGCACATCAGTTTGGTTTTGGCTTCCGCCGCGCATAATAAATTAAAAAAATGGCGAGCACAACGACAAAGACCGTAGGAAAAGACGAAGAACTATTTTTGGGTGCTGTGCGGTTGATTGCGTGTGGCGCGACGGTCGACCGTCAACGTGCACGAGGATGAGTTTTGGTCTGTATCAGGTCGCGGTCGACTGCACGTGGCGCGACGGTCGACCGCCAAAAGTCCAGAGACTCAGGAAAGTTTCTGTCGTTTTCGCGGTCGACCGCGCATGACACGGTGGTCGACCGCGAGTCGGGTCTAAGCTGGATTTTGGTTTTCAACCCCTTTCGTTTCTGAGTTGATATATAAACCTAATCCTAATTAATTAGGTTTAAGCAAGGATATTTAGAACAGTCTTTTAGAGAAGATTGTTGCATCCAATTGTGGGAGATTTGTGAGAGATCTAGAGACTTTGTTTTAGGGTTTATTTGAGAGATTTGTAACCCTATTTGTATTCTATTAATTTCTAATAATAAGAACTCCCCCCTCCTTACCCCGTGGACGTAGGCAACTTGCCGAACCACGTAAAATTCGTTTGTCTTGCTGTGGTATTGTGTTTGACTTATTGGTTATGATTTATCTCTTTCTTGTTCGTGTGGTTACGAGCTCCGCTGCGCACAACAAGTGGTATCAGAGCTTTAGGTTTGGCTTGAGGCTTGTTCGAATGATTCAGTGAAGGATTCCTATTTGAAGAGTTAGATCGGCAACATGGGAGAATCAATCACATCAGGTTCGTCTCTTACGAAGGGGATACAGAGTCTAAGCATCAATAACATGAAGATTGATGTTCTGAAGTTCGACGATAAGATCAACTTTGGTTTGTGGAGGTTCCAGGTGATGGATGCTTTGGATGCACAGAATTTGGAGGAGACTCTTGAGTTACAAGAGAAACTCGATGATATGGAGGATAAAGTTTGAAAGAAGATGAATAGTAGGATTTGTGGAGTTATTTGGTCATGTTTGACGCCAGATCTTATTTATGACGTGATGAATGAGACATCGACGAAGAGAATGTGGGAAACACTCAAAGAGAAGTATCTTACGAAAAGTATTGAGAATCGACTTCACTTGAGAAGAGGTTTTACCAGTTCAAGATGAAGAGGGGAGTTTCTATTAGAGAGCATGTCAACAATTTCTCGAAGCTATTTTCAGATATGGCCAATGTGAACATCATGGTTGAGGATGAAGACAAGGCGATGCTACTTTTGTATTTGTTGCCCGAGGATGATTATGGTACGTTCGTTCTCACTATGATCAACGGAAGAACTATTGTTAGCTATAAGGAGGTGACATCAGCTTTGGTGAATTATGAGTTGAGGAAGAGTGATGGTGAACCTTCCGAAAAGGCATCGAGAGATGCATTAGCAGTTCGAGGGCGCAGTCCAAACCGTCGCCACGTCAACCGCTCAAAATCGAAGAATAGAGGTGCCTATAAGTGTGTTGGTAGAAATCAATATCGGTATTGTAAAGAAGAATGACATTGGAAGATTGATTGCCCAAAGTAGAAAGAAAAAGCCGGGAAGAATAAGGGGAAAGCTGTACAAGCTTCAGAAGTAAATGTTACAAAAGCTGTTGATGAACATTCAAAGTCAGATTCTTTGGGCTATTCGTGCCCTGCACTACCGTCGATTTGCTATGCCGACTCCACAGAGTGGATATTGGATTCAGGAGTCATATATCATATTTGCCCTAGGAGGGATTGGTTCTCTAGCTTTGAGGAGTTGGAAAGAGGGGATGTCATGCTTATGGGTAATGACCATGTATGCCCTATTGGTGGTATTGGTTCAGTCCGGATCAGGATGTACGGTGTGGTGAGGGAGTTGAAAGAAGTGAGGTTCGTTCCGCAGTTGACGAAGAACATCATTTCTCTTGGTACTTTGGAGGTAGCTGGTTATCGGGTGACCTTAGAGAATGCTACTGTGAAGGTCACAAAGGGTTCTATGGTGATGATGCGAGGAGTCAGGAAAAACTTCCTATACTATTTGAAGGGTAAGACAGTTACAGGGGGTCTGACAACTTCTATCACTACAGAGGAGGACACTACCACTCTATGGTACATGAGATTAGGACACATAGGTGATAAGTCCCTGCGGTCATTGGCGAAATAGGGGCTTTTGAAAGATGCTTGCAAGATGGAGTTGTGTGAGCATTGTGTACTTGGAAAGAAGACTAGAGTGAAGTTTGGCACCGCTATTCACAACATCCAAGGTATATTGGATTACGTTCACACAGATGTTTGGGGCTCTTCCAAGAACACATCACTTGGTGTGGCTAACTATTTTATCACTTTCATTGATGACTATTCTAGAAGGAATTGAGTATACCTTATAAAGCATAAACATGAGGTCCTGGATATTTTTGTAGCGTGGAAGAAGAAAGTGAAGCTGCAGACATGTAGAAAGGTGAAGACTCTACGTTCAGATAACGGTGGAGAGTATAAGAGTGATTCATTTTTACAGTTTTGCCGGATCACGACATTAGACGACACTTCACAGTTCGAGAGACACCATAACAGAATGGGGTGACTGAGAGATTGAACCGTACCTTGCTGGAGAAGGTGTGATGTATGATGACGCAGAGTGGATTACCAAGATCCTTTTGGGCCGAGTCGTTAGTTTATGCGAGCTATCTCGTTAATAGGTTGTCGTGCACTGCGATACAGGGGAAGACTCCTTTAGAGCATTGATCTGGTTCGGTAGCTAGTGACTATGAGTCGCTTCAGATATTTGGGTGTCCTACTTATTATCATGTTAGTGATGGTAAATTGAATCCGAGGACGAGGAAGACAGTCTTTGTAGGATTTAGAGATGGAGTTAAAGGCTTCAAGTTATGAGATCTACAAGATAAGAAGATAGCTATTAGCAGAGATGTCACATTTGATGAGGTGTACATGATGAGGCCTTAAGTTCTTCGGCAAGTGGAGGAAGACCAGATTCGAGAGATATCGCAACAGGTGGAGGATGATGTGACTCCACCCACTCCAGATAGCATTGTATCCATTGAGGCTCCTGCAGAGGTAATACTAGGAGGAGATGGGATGACAGCCGGGCAGATAGAGGATACAGTAGATTGTGAGACTTAGGAGCAGGGTCATGTTCAAGAGTCTATTGCAGCGAATAGTCCTAGAAGGGTGATTCGTCGGCCAGCTAGGTATAATGATGTCATGGCCGCATATGCATTATCAGTGGAGATAGTTGATGATATGGTTCCATTTACATCCAGGGAGGCAGAGTCTAGCTCTGATTCGATCAGGTGGAGGGAAGCTATGGAAGAGGAGATGCGGTCTCTTCAGAAGAACGACACTTGGGAACTTGCAAGGCTACCTAAGGGGAAGAAATCTATTGGTTGTAAGTGGGTATATGCTAAGAAAGATGGATCTTCTATTGGGGACATTAGGTACAAAGTCAGATTGGTTGCCAAGGGATATGCACAGTTTGAGGGCATTGATTACAACGAGGTATTTTCACCCATTGTGAAGCGTTCGTCGATTCGGATTTTATTAGCATTGGTGGCACAGCTGAATTTGGATTTGGTCCAGATGGATGTGAAGACAACCTTTCTACATGGTGATTTAGATGAGGAGATCTACATGACACAACCCTTGGGATTCAAAGCCGCAGGTAAGAAAGATTTAGTTTGCAAACAGAAGAAGTCTCTTTATGGATTGAAGTAATTACCGCGACAGTGGTACAAGAGATTCGACGGCTTTATGATTGGCCATGGGTGCACGAGGAGCCCATATGACCCATGTGTTTATATGCATAAGCTACAGGATGGTGAGCACATATATTTGCTTTTATATGTTGATGATATGCCTATTGCTTCTAGGAATTCTTCGGCTATTCGAAAGTTGAAAGAAGAGCTGTCATCCGAGTTCAAGATGAAGGATCTTGGAGAAGCAAAGAAGATATTAGGTATGGAGATCGAGAGAGACAGGATGAAGGGGAGATTGAAGCTTACACAGAAGAGCTATTTGCAGAAGATGTTGAAGAAATTCAGCTTTGATAGTAATGCAAAAGCAGTTAGCACTCTATTGGCTCTCTAATTTAAGCTTTCAGCTAATATGTCATCTGTTTCAGTTGAGGATAGAGATTACATGTCGAAGGTTCCATATGCCAGTGTAGTGGATAGCTTGATGTATGCGATGGTGTGTACGAGACCAGATCTGTCACAGGCCGTGAGCATGATATCGAGGTACATGCACGACCCCGGGAAGGGTCATTGGGAGGCCATGAAGTGGATTCTACGGTATGTTAAAGGCACTATAGATGTTGGATTGATTTTTCAGAAGAGTGAGAAGAATGAGCATGATTGTATTAGTTACGTAGATTCAAACTGTGCGGGGGATCTTGACAAGCGCCGGTCTACTTCAGGATATGTGTTTATATTGACAGGAGGATCGGTTTGTTGGGGATATACACTTCAGTTTACAATGGCTCTCTCTACTACATAGGCGAAATATATGACCAGTGACTGAATCTGTTAAGGAGGCTTTGTGGTTGCGTGGACTGTTGGAGGACTTGAGGATTGCACAGGAGACCCTTCGGGTATATTGTGATAGCATGTCGGCTATCTACCTGGCAAAGAATCAAGTTTATCATTCATGCACGAAACACATTGATGTCAGATTCTACTTTGTTCGGGACATATTGGATGATGGAGACGTCATATTGGAGAATGTCCACACGAAGGACAACCCTGCAGATATGCTGACCAAAGTTGTTTCAGGTGTGAAATTTGGTCATTGTTTGAAGCTATTGAATATTCTTTAGTGTTGAGGGCCTTTGGAGGCCATTTGGATGAACTACGTTTGGTTTGATTTCTTGGGAAAAAGGATACGTAGGCAGTCTTTTCGATGCAGCCGATTGGATTTGTTGATTTCGATGGGGGGAATTGTTTGAGCTCTCGTTTGGGTTCCCGACTTGTTGTGGATTGAGTCCATTATTGTGGGTTGTTTCCACGTCATCTTGGACGCAACAAGTGAGACATTTGGATGATTTGGTGTCGGCTCAGTTTGGAAGAAACGTTCGCCGAGGTGGAGAATTAAAGAAATGACGAGCACAACAACGAAGACCGCATGAAAAGATGAAGAACTGTTTTTTGGGTGTTGTGCGGTCGACCGCGTGTGGCGCGACGGTCGACCGCCAACGTGCACGAGGATGAGTTTTGGTCCATATCAAGTCGCGGTCGACTGCACGTGACGGCATCGACCGCCAAAAGTCCAGAGACTCGGGAAAGCTTCTGTCGCTTTCGTGGTCGACCGCGCATGGCGCGGTTGTCGACCGCGAGTCGGGTCTAAGCTAGGTTTTGGTTTTCAACCCGTTTTGTTTCTGAGTTGATATATAAGCCTAATCCTAATTAATTAGGCTTAAGCAAGGACGTTTAGAGCAGTCTTTGAGAGGGGATTGTTTGCATCCAATTGTGGGGGATTTGTGAGAGATCTAGAGGCTTTATTTTAAGATTTATTTGAGAGATCTGTAACCCTATTTGTATTCTTGATTTCTAATAGTAAGAACTCCCCCCTCCTTGTCCCGTGGACGTAGGCAACTCGCTAAACCACGTAAAATTCGTTTGTCTTGCTGTGGTATTGTGTTTGGTTTATTGGTTGTGATTTATCTCTTTCTTGTTCGTGTGGTTACGAGCTCCGTTGCGCACAACATGTTTGGTTCTGTTTATTTTCATAACTTTTGACGAAACTTGGATGATGATGATAAATTTATAATGATGTCTATTGTCTTTGCTTCTTTCGGGTTCCCTTACTAGAAAAGCTAATGATTTTTCAAAACATAATCTTTAGTTTATATTTAGATAAGGATGCATATGTTAGGTGTTGCAATGCCACTTCACCATAGCCATAGCTATTGCTTTCTCTACCTTTAGGAGATATGTGAATATGTTCCTTCACATGTTGAACTCAAATAGGTAAGTTGGACAATTATTCTCGCATTATACATGAATACAGAGAGGAAACTATAGCCAAGTACAAAGAAAAATAACCACGTGTTGCACATCAATAAGTGGACAATTCTTTTACAACCTCTTATCTCACGACCAAACTACTAGGAATTGGCCAAGTATCCCAAAATCTACCTCCAAAATCTCAAACCTTGAAAGAGTTCTTCTTTACATTTGATTCAAAGGTGAAGGGAATATATACTCCCCTATGAGCATTTGATTCTTTGCAATAAGTTTCTCTCACCTTCGCACATCTTTGCTAAGCAAAGTAGATTCCGACTCAATATAAATACAAAACTCCCCTTAACACTAATTTGCATCCAATAACAAAACTCATAGAGGAAATGAAGCTAGGCAAGGAAGTCCACCTCCATTATCACCCTCAACACAAGGTAACCATGGAGTACTCAGAGACTCCCTTCATGTGTGACGGATGCAAGGAAGCGGGTATCGGGTTAGAATACCACTGCGGAACCTGCAATTTCGACCTCCACAAAATTTGTGCACTTGCACCCCCAACCACCACTCATCCATTCTACACAAAATGTGAGTTTAAACTCTATGCTCGACCACCCGGTCAATTACCAAGAGTATGCAACGCGTGCAGAAATATCGTTAGAGGTTTCGTGTATCATTGCACTAGATGTGGCTTCGATCTCCATCCATGTTGCAATAGTCTACCAAAATCTCTTGTAGACGGGAAACAAAGATTTTATCTATGTGATAAAATTTCGAGCCCTTGCCTCTGTTGCGGAGGCAAAGGGCTCGGGTGGAGCTATCAGTCCGAGTGCAGGAGGTATGGTCTGCATGTTTCGTGCGTTAAAGAGGAGCTCGTGGAGGATTGGCAGAATATGTGTCTGAACGTGAACAAGAAAAAGATTAGCCAGGTTGGGATGAGGATACCGAAGATTCAGGGGGAAATACGAAGAAGCCACCGCCGCGACCACCGTAAAGGGAAGTTGGAGAAATGTTGTGAGGTCGCCGGAGATGCCGTGAGGGTGATTGTGTCGGCGGTTCTCGGAGATCCGACTG